AAAAACAACAAAAGTGCATATAGGCAATCCTCTCTCTAAATCGATGACGTGTATATCTGCAATGGTCACCTGATGTGATCTTTGTCATCTTGCATCAAAGCCGTTTCTTCAGGTCATACCCTCGAAACGATGTCCGGGCGATCGTGACCTTCTGTCCTGGGAATATTTTTCTGTTATTTCCGGCCATTTAGGGTTGCACGTGAAAGTCAAAAACAGATCCGGTTTACACTCCGCACAATGCCATCGAGTCCTGATAGTTTTGCTGCATGCAGCGAGCTTCCTATAAACGTTGACGGAAAGTAACCGTATTCCAGGGGACCCGTCTCTTGACCACTCTGTAAATGTGATCGGAGACCCATGTAATTTCCACTCAGATTCGTCCTGATGGCTCCCGGAGGTACGCAATCCTGTTGCCTTCAACTTTTACGTATTATCCACGAGATAACTGCTGAAACAATTTCCGCCATACAAATCGGGTGTAGCAATCTCGTCGTACGGACACCCTGTGACTGTAAAACTGTAACTCTGTGTATTCTGTCCGACCTGAATCCTTGCTCGCCGTGAGGAAAAAAGTACGTACGTGGGTTTCCAATTTGGGATTTAAGGTACTGATTGATGACCCCACCTCTCGGAGGATCACGATGTCTGGTTCATGGAGGAGCGCCGCCGTACTCTTGAAGACGACGCAACTCATTTTCTTTCGGAGCATTGTACGTCCCTGTGCCGCCTGCAGCAACACTTTCCCCCTTGATGTACATGCGGATATCCGCAAGCATTTCGGCACCTGCTCTCGTACAGTTTCTTCTTCGAATTCCTTCAGCATCTGTAGGCTTCCGCATATGGATTAACGTTCCTTAAACTGTGTCCAACTTCTCAGAGTTCGGCGTTCAGGCAACATTTCCAATATGTTCTTCTCTCCTGAGGGCTTGATCCGAATCTAAATGTACAGCTGAGCAACTGTTCTGACCGGGATGAGGGCGGATGAAGGTGGCTCGTTCGATGATATTGGCACCGTGAATCCTGAAGCAGTAGGACCCGAACCCGAAGGCATTTCATATTGGCACCAATGAAGCAAACTGAGCAGGCAGTTGTAAGTACGTTGTTGGCAAACTCTTCAAAACGGGTGGTTCCATTCATTAAATTGTGCCATTCTTCTGGATATCTTTTTCAGCTTCGACAATTTTCCCATTGTTCCAGCAAGTGCATGTATCTTCCTCTGCATTCCTTTCTCCCGTAAAGAACAATCCGTTGCAGAGATCGCAGGAAGCTTCCATTGAACCGGCGCTGTGTTGCTCAACATAAACTTCGAGTCCACATCTTCCTGCATTGTGAAGAGTGCTGCGTGAACGTTGTGCTGATTCATGCGTAGCCTGTCTTCTCGTACGGACATTGTTTTCTTTCGGATAGGACTTGTCTGTGGCGTGCAGCGTCTCGCTTTCTTCGTGTAGCAGCGTCCTCTTCCGACTCTTCCGCTCGAACTTGACGATGACGATGAGAGTCCAGTCTGTGCCTCCTACTGGTTTCTTCTTCACTTTCTTGAGCCGCAAATTTTCTTGACATTGGGATTGCCTGCTGAGTCTCCTAATGGTTTCTTGTTCCGTTTCTGCAGCACGTAATTTTTCTTGATGTTGAGCTTTCCTGCCGAGTCTCGTAGGGTTTCTTCTTCCGTTTCTTGAGCGCGTAGGTTTGCTTGCCGACGCGCTTGCGTGCTCAGTCTCGCAGTTTTCTTCTTCATTTCTGCAGCTCGCCGTAAACTCTGTGCTTCCTCTTCGTCTTCTTGATGCATCTCCTGTAATGCCTCTTTTTTTCCGTTTCGGCATTTCAGTACGTTAAAAAACACTACTAAATATTAACTCGACTCAAAAATTGACTACGCAGATGAAGAAAAAAATTGCTCATTAAACCAATACTGCTGGAAAAAAATTAATGCATTCTATATGTATACAACACAAATTTTAAATAATCCTAGACTAAATGAAAAATTTTCCCACTTAAGCAAATTATTTAAAAAAATCAAAATGTAACAAAAACTTCCCTGTTAAAAATGCTGGCAATAAAATAATATGGGTATATTATAAAAATTCCAAGCACAGATAAAAAATGAAAATTTCTAATATTCGGTCAATCTAGACAATCACATACAGAAATGAAACCTAAACAAAATAATAAAAGTATAAATACAATAAATTAGGAACTTCTGAAATCAATTCTGAAATTCATACACCTCAAATAACAAAAAAAATATAACATCGATCGCCTAAAACGATTGTTATCGCACCGGAAATGTCAAAAATATAAAATGTAAGCAATTTATCGGCACAATAACAGAAATATAAAACACGAATGAATAGATCTTTAAAAAAATACAAAATAATACATTAAATATATAAAAAGAGTCACCAGTTATGTTCCGAAGAATTCCAAGTTCTAAACTAACAGGAGCATATAAAAGTCTAAAATACTACTTAAATTACTAAACTACAATAATGCAAAAACATAATATCCTGTAAAAGAAATAAGATTAAGTGCAATGAGTAATAATAAGAATATTTACGAATTTGAAATGCTGGAAAAATTGCGACGGTCCTTCCAAATCCAAAATTCGTAATAAATTTTTTGTCCAACCAGGAAACTAACTTTTGATTCTATTTGATCTGTTGCCAGACCGGGAAACAAAACTTTTTATTTTTCTATGACGTCATTTACTCGACTTATCAGGGCATAAACAATCTACATTCAACTAACGACAAAATGAAGAGAATGTTTTTATTTTAGTTTTATTTTCTTTTCAGTTATTCCTTTAAGTTATTTTAATTTTTTATTCTAGTTTGTTACGGCCTTGGCGTTCCATAGCATTTTTTATCTCCGACGACTGCCGAGACTGTTGCCACTTCGGGGGATGGGGAATTTTGTTTTCGCAGTTTTTAATAATAACGCCTTATTGTCGTACGAAGATGGGACCGGTATCGATGGATTCGTTGATTTTTTTCGAATCCGGGATATGCGTTTCGAATTCGCAACTCGGCGCCGTTCCGCAGATATTCGAGAAAAACGAATTTGGCACTCGGCCAAATCCCTAAAACAGGGGAAACTCGTGAAAGAAAGTGCAAAACGTAGGGAAACGTAGGGGAAAAAGCAGTTTTTAATTAATATCTCGGCTAATTAAAGTCGCACGAAGATGCCGATGGTCAATATGGCGAGCCACGGGCATTTCTGAATCCAACGGTACCTTCCGCTAAGCTCTACACCCAGCCGTTTGAGAAGATGATGTTACAAACAAACAACAAACAGACAGAGGCACACAGATTTTAATATATAGACTAGCGGGCAGCCCGCCAGCTGAGCGGGCTGAAGCCCATTACTTCAGGGGATGGATGCCTTCGTGGTATTCGAAAGTTGAACCGAACTAACAGTGTACAGCGATTTTACATTTGCTGCGCCCGCTTTATTAAAGTATGCATGCAGTATTTTCTCCATGCGGAAAATCACGAAAACACACTTGCAGCCAGCCCGCTCGCCGGGATTAGAAAGTTGGGACCGAACTACCAGTGTTCAGCGAATTAACGCTCAGCCGCTTGTACGAAGTGTAATCGCGAAAATTTTCGGGTGTGATATTCCAATAGTATACTCGTTAAAATTCCTTTATTTAAATTCTTTTTGGTAAACTCCAACTTCTTTCTATAAATTTTATACTTAACATCTCTTTTGTAATTATGTTTCATAACAGTAAATATATACTGGCATTTAAATGCCTGTAAAATAGTAGAAAACATTTTAAAAGCATTATTTTACAATTTTCTCATGCTCGGAAGTAATACTTTTAACTGCGAGCAAACCTTTGATCTTAGTCGTAACTGTAACTGCTTTCGGCGGCGTTTTTGTTTACATTTTTCAAGCGTGGGTTTTTCGTCAGTTATCTTTGTTACTACCTTCTAAAAATGTTCTTCGAAGGGTCTTCTAAGACTCTTGATAATATTTTAGTCGTGAATTTGTTCTATTTTTGATTATACTGGTAAATTTTTTTTTTTACTTATGCTATCATAATGCATACTATTAGCAAGTAGTATCATAAACCCAAAGCATCAGTGGTTCTAAAAAAAACTCGTGCATGTGTGAAGAATATTCATGGCAGATGGTCATTTGTAGATGCTGTTACTGCAGAAAAAATTGCTGACACTTAAAAAAAAATCTCCTTTAGTGGATATGACAAATGATGATGAAAGTCCAGCGTGAAAATCAATTGTGAATACAACTGCGAGTGTAAAGGCAGCTGAGTTGAAAACAACTTTTCAATCTACATCAAATTCTAATCAAAATGTGAGTGAAAGGTTCCTATATTTTAATGAACAGCGAAATGTTTGTTGCATAATGCTACAACAGTTCTTCAGATGTAATATGAAAGGGAATGTTTGGCAATGAACTCATTTGCAAATTGTATAAGAAGGTTTTAATTTTAAAAAATCAAAAATTGTAAAACCAAAACTTGCAGATTGTAAAATTGCTGGTAAATAACAGAATTTAAATAATAATATGTGCAATGCTATGGAAATTCTAAGAACAGATAACAATTATCAAAATATTTTGAATAATTAGGTAACGACCACAGGAAGCGTCATTTTTACTTCCGTGTGTAAAGTAGTGGTGTAACGTATTCAGCTACGGCAAAGCACTCGAGTGCAATCTGCCTAAGGGGAGGGATGCCTTCTTGTCGGCTTTTTAAAGGAAAGTGGCTCGTATACGCATGGGGAAAATAACAAAAACACCCATGCAGCCACCCCGTTCACTGGGATTCGAATGTTGGGTGTTTGTAAAAGACGCAACTTTGTGGAACAAACTCATTTGCTCATTACAGTCCTATCCCTCGAGTATATCAAATATCATGTGAATCATGCCCATGTCTTGCATCTGCTGCACACCTTGTTCCATCATTGTGTGGATATAGCTCATATTGTGTCAATAGTGTTTGTATGTGTCCCAATATCCCCTGTATATACATTTGAAAATATATGTACATACATATAAACCAAATTAGTTAGTCGCCTGTTTTTTATCGCATTCAAAATAAATAAATAACAGAAAATAATTTTTAAAATCTACCGAGTAAGTATTGCAGATGGGTGGGCTGCACCCACTCAATTCTTTGCTGGTGTCTAAAATAGTTTCTGTGTGAAATTTGTGGAAATATTTTGTATTTAAATCAAAAACAGAAAAATAATTTTAAATCTATGATTAAAATTGTTTTTTCTCACTTTCATTATTATTAACACGAAACCGAAGGGACTGAAGAATTTTTTTCGTGTTAAAGGATATTGAAAAAAAAAAAAAAAAAAAAAAAACATATTTTCAACAAAATTAAGTTTATTAGAGTACATTTTATTTGCACAGATATGCATATAGGCATGTATTTAATAAAAAATCAATGAAACAAAATCATCCACAAGAACTGCATTATTCATTTCGTTTTCTTTGTCGGAATCTGCATCAATGATATTTTTTTAGCTTTGAACAAACTCCAAAATATCCTTGTCTCCAATTATTTGGGGCTGTACACACATTATCATCAACTACTGCAACTGTTGTTCTTTGGATAACACAGTAGGGCAGCACACAGAAACTTTTCCAAACGTTTCATAAAATGTCAGTCGTGTGAACCCGTAAAATATTTTACTGTACCTATGTCTATAAAAGACACAACTTTGGGAAAGACATTACAGGCCTATCCCTTGAGTATATTAAATATCATGCAAAACAAAATATTTTATATGAATGAAATCAGTTATTGCGTCAATAGTTCAAAGAAAAACAGAAAATAATTTTTAAAATCTACCGAGTAAGTACGCCAGATGGGCGAGCTACAATCCGTATTTATCTGAAAAGAAATAATAATAATAATAATAATTTCTTAGTTATAAGTTTATATTAAACACAAAAACTTGAACAGAAAAAAAAAAAAAAACAGTAAAAAAAAAATTGGTGGGCTTTTGACGGCATAAACTGCCTGACACCTGGGGTCTCCTCTGCAACCTCATCGACCAGGGGGTTATTTTTTCTCCCAGGTATCAGCCCCTTCCCTGGTCTGCTGTTACAGAATCATAGACAAAATTGCATCACTATATATAAATATGTATATATATATATATATATATATATATATATATTGATGCAATTGTATATACATATATACACACACGCACAATTAAGATATATATATATTTGTATGTGTTTACAAAAATGCAAGCAATGAATAAGAAAAAATTATTTACAAAAAATTTACATGTTCTATGTACACCTGAAAAGAAAAACATTTTAATTTGAATGAAATCATTTCTATATACACCTGAAAAAAAGTATTTACAAGTTCTATGTACATCTGAAAAGAAATGTATAAAAACATTTTAATTTGAATCAAATCATTTCTATATACACCTGAAAAAGAAATATTTTTTATGTGATTGAAATCACTTCCATACATACTAAAAAAGAAAAATACATAAAATGTTTTAAAATTAATGAACGCAATTGTATGTAGACCTGAAAAGGAAAAATTTATAAAAATATTTACAACATTGAAAAAATAATACAGCTTCCGATTGCCTAACTACTCCAAAATTCCACTTTGTAACAACAGACATAAAAGCCGACTAATGCATCATTCTCAAACTGTTTCAGCTTCATCTTGACTTGCTTCAATTTATCCCAGTCATCCAAAAACCTCAAATCTTTTTCATTTTTGCTTTGGCTTGATTAACTTCATTTTGTGTTGCAAAAATCTCACTGTTTCAATGTCTCGAGTAACTTTTTTACTGCAGAACCTCCCTGTAAACAATATTTCTTGTGAATACTTTAGAACATGCGGGTATCAAACGGCCTTGCTTCTTGGTGTCTTTCACTAAAACACGAACATTCCTCATAGACGAACATCTTGAAAAAGCTACATAAAGCATTCCGTGACTGAAAACTGGTTTGCGGTAAATAAATTCCCAACTTTCTTAAGCGTCTGTCCCTGTGACTTATTAATAGTCATACAAAATGCAAGCCTGATGGGAAACTGTCTTCGCTTGAGCTGAAAGGGGAGGTTTGAATCTGATGGTGAAAGTTCAACACGTGGAATGAAAACTCTCGATCCAGCATTCTGTCCAGAGATGACTTCACAATCTAAAACGTTTGGCATAATTCTCTTCACAATGAGCCTTGTTCCGTTGCAGAGTCCAACCGATGGATGTAGATTTTCGTAGAAGCATAACTATAACTCCAACTTTCAAATTCAGACGATGAGGTGGCATTCCAGAAGGCGTCAGGCTGTGGATGAAATCCAGCTGATACGTTTCTTGTTCTTCTTCGTCATCGCAAATAACCGAGTCTGCACTGTAGTGCGTGAAAACTTGACCTGGAAACGTGGAAAGAATTTCTTCATTAAGCTTCAGAGCTTCCTCGTTCTTTGGACATAAAATCGCTTTACTGGCCAAGTCTTGTAAGTCGAATTCATTACCGCAGCCAAACATTTCTTCTACTATCGATCTGTTGACCACACACAAAGATGGAATTTCGATAACGTCTTCGTCCAAGCCACTGTCATTTCTAAGACGACCATCTCCCAACTGCAGAAGCCATTCTGAAAATTCTTGTTCTTCCGGATTCAATCGCATATTGGTGGAAAGCGTGCATTGTTTGAAATGTGGCCACAAAAAGGAATTCCTGAGGCAGCTCTCGATCGCAGAAGTTCGGTTTCCGTGTGGGACAACAGGTAATGTTTGTCTCCAGTCACCTCCTAAAACTAAGGTTTTACCGCCAAAAGGAACATCCAGTCCGGTCAAGTCTCTCAGCAATCTGTCGACAGCTTCCAAAGCATAATGAGGCGTCATGGTGCATTCATCCCATATGAAAAGTTTCGCAGTCTTCAAGTACCTTCCTTCAGCGCTATCTTGTCTCACACGGCACGAAGAAGTTTCCAGAAGTGGAACGGGCAACTTGAAAGTAGAGTGTACAGTTCTTCCACCGGTCAACAGCACAGCAGCAATACCTGTCCACGCAACGGGAATGGCAACGTGGCCCATTCCTCGAACAGCATGAAGGATCGTCCTAAAAAGGAAAGTTTTTCCAGCTCCGGCAAACGCATTAACACAAAATGTCTTCGGTGTGTTAGGATTCTCATCTCGTACAGCTTCCAAAACCGAGTCGTAAACTAATTTCTGTTCAGGATTCAACATCCCGTTCAACACTTCGGCTTGTTCGTTTTCATATTGGACATCGAACTGCGGGACTTCGAGAGAAACAGCATCAGTCAATGTTGGTTGCGGGAGACCAAGAGAACATAGCGAAACATTGTGCACTTCTAACTGGTCTTCTATACTTCTCAGTGCAAGGCTGAAACTGTCTTCTAAGGAGTAAGATCTCGCAAAATCTTCAGAAAGGGACTCTTTCAATTCATTCCACAAAGCGACGGGTTCCGCAGGGTTGCAGAAAACACAGATGAAGCAAAAAAAGCTGTCTTAGCTGCGGTGGCATTTGAAAAGCGATGCTTCTGCCAGAGTATTTTTCCATTCTTCGTCGTCTTGCAGCAGATGCCTTGCACGGCAGGCTTCCTTGAACGTTGAATACTCCACACCTTCGTAAGTTCTTAAGTCGGCAAAACTCTTCGCTCCTTTAACGTGACACAGCAGCAGCAACCTCAGATGGAAACGCTCAACATCTTTCGGGCTAACAGAATACATTCTTGAAATGATGTAATCTCCAAGTCTAACTCGTGTCTGCCAGGCGTGATTCCTCCAGGTGAAATGTTTAGGAATTTCGGCATACAGGTAACCATTCGCTTCGGGAACTGTCCTGTTCAGTTCAAACCATCCGGTGAGCATGGTATTTTTCTCGGCAGCTCTCTGGAAAGCATTCCTTTCTTCGGATTCGGCAAAATAGACGTTCTCTTTAGTTTCTGCCTGAAACGGTTTCGGAAATCCTTTCGAACATACACCATCACTCATGCAGGGAGAGTTTCTATTCAGTTCACCGCAGGGTCCGTGAATCATCGATGACTTCACAATGTTGTGTAGCTCCGGATGTCGAGTAGCATCTGGAAGTTCAGCACACACCAGCGAGTCGATGCACTCTGCATCTCTTATTTTGTCTTCTTCCGCTAAAAACAACAAAAGGTGCATATGAGGCAATCCTCTCTTCTGAAATTCGATGACGTGTATATCTGCAATGGTCGCACCTAAGATGTGATTCTTTGTCAAATCTTGCATCAAAGCCGTTTTTTTCTTCAGGTCAAATACCCTCGAAACGATGTCCGGGCGATCGTGAGCCTTCTGTCCTGGGAATAAGTTTTCTGTTATTTCCGGCCATTTAGGGTTGCACGTGAAAGTCAAAAACAGATCCGGTTTACCAAAGTCGCGCACAATGGCCATCGAGTCCTGATAGTTTTTGCTGCATGCAGCGAGGGCTTCCTATAAACGTTGACGGAAGTATAACCGGTATTCCAGGGCGGACGCCCGTCTCTTGACCAACTCTGTAAATGTGATCGGCAAGACCCATGTAAGTTTCCACTCTCAGATTCGTCTGATGGCTCCGGAGGTACGCAATCCTGTTGCCTTCAACTTTTACGTATGCATCCACGAGATACTGCTGAAACAATTTCCGGCCATACAACAAAATCGGGTTGTAGCAATCTCGTCGTACGGACACCCTGTGACTGTAAAACTGTAACTCTGTGTATTGCTGTCCGACTCTGAATCCTTGCTCGCCGTGAGGAAAGAAAAGTACGTACGTCATGGGTTCCAAGTTGGGATTTAAGGTACTGATGTTGATGAGACCGCCACCTCTCGGATGGATCACGATGTCTCGGTTCGATGGAGGAGCGCCGTCCGTACTCTTGAAGACGACTGCAACTTCATTTTCTTTCGGAGCATTGTAACGTCCCCTGTGCTCGCCTGCAGCAACACTTTCACCCTTGATGTACATGCGGATATCCGCAGCAGTTTCGGCACCTTGCTCTCGTACAGTTTCTTCTTCGAATTCCTTCAGCATCTTGTAGGCTTCCGCATATGGATTAACGTTCCTTAAAACTGTGTCCAACTGTCTCAGGAGTTCGGCGTTCAGGGCAACATTTCCAAATATGTTCATTCTCTGCCTGAGGGCTTGATCCGAATCTAAAATGTACAGCTGAGCATACTGTTCTTGACCGGGATGAGGCGGATGAAGGTGGCTCGTTCGATGATATATGGCAACCGTGAATCCTGAAGCAGTAGGGACCCGAACCCGAAGGCATTTCTATATTGGCACCCAATGAAGCAAAACTGAGCAGGCAGTTGTAAGTACGTATGTTGGCAAAAAAACTCTTCAGAAAACGGGTGGTTCCCATTCATTAAATTGTGCCATTCTTCTGGATATCTTCTTTCAGCTTCGACAATTTTCCCATTGTTACAGCAGTGCATGTATCTTCCTCTTGCATTCCTTTCTCCCGTAAAGAACAATCCGTTGCAGAGATCGCAGGAAGCTTCCATTGAACCGGCGCTGTGTTGCTCAACATAAACTTCGAGTCCACATCTTCCTGCATTGTGAAGAGTGCTGCGTGAACGTTGTGCTGCATTCATGCGTAGCCTGTCTTCTCGTACGGACATTGTTTTCTTCGGATAGGACTTGTCTGTGGCGTGCAGCGTCTCGCGTTCTTCGTGTAGCAGCGTCCTCTTCCGACTCTTCCGCTCGAACTTGACGATGACGATGAGAGTCCAGTCTGTGCCTCCTACTGTTTCTTCTTCACTTTCTTGAGCACGCAAATTTTTGACATTGGATTATAAAACAAATTCATAATAACAATCGTGTTGTTAGTTATCGAAAAAAAACCAGAGTTTTTTTGCGTAAAGTCACTAAACTATACAAATTGCTATTATCATCACCTTAATTTTCTTTCATGCGAAAGTGTCCCTTTTTCGATTCTATGAACTGTCCGTGTCGAATACTATCAGATTGTCAAGCGACTTCGGAATGTAAACAAAGAACACCCCATCTGGTGACCCAAGCTTCGTTGTAAACATTAGAAACAGGGTAATATTACAACTTGGTAAACATTAAAAGAGTGTGGTTGGAAGCAGTGGTGAGCTGAAGGGAGCGATTTCTAAAACTTGTATTTAATTTGAAAGCCCACGTTTACTTATTTACTTATTCTAAGAAAAATACATGTTTTTCGTGTCGTAATCGAACTTTGATCTGGTATAATTTTCTTGTTCATGGCAAGAAAATTACCACATCAACTCAGCAGAAAGGTATACAGTTAAACACTATAATGAAACTTATAAATGCAAAGCTATGCGTTATTGAAGAGCTCCAAGAAAATGGATTTATAAAAGTTAAAGCAAATAGAGGAGATAGAGCAAAATAATTGTTTATATCTTTAGGGGGTGCTGTTCAATCTACTGATACCAGATTATAGTTTTGTTTTAACTATAAAAATGCAATTTTCTTATGAAAATAGAAATGAATTGATTTTAGAAAAAGAAAATTAATTAAGAACAATTTTTTTAATGTTTTCATAGACATTGCTCTTATGTCGTTGGCAGAACGATTACAGCAACTGTTTTGATGCATTTATTGTTATTTGTGACATTAGGAACTTGCCAAGAAATGAGGAATATCTGAACAGCAGTTGTAAGAAGCTTGTAGATGATTAAAGTAAATAAAACTTAGATGATATAAATGCCATAGATCACGCTGCTGAGTTAGAATTGCTATCCCGCATGTTATCATCAGAAACTGCCAACAGCTGTTTGACAATACTTCGGCACACTTAAGAAAAGAACTTGGAAGATATTTTCTTAAATGTGTCAGTTTCAATGAAAATTTGTTGTGCATACCAGCATCAGTAACCTAGGCGATACGCAACTTTCGAGGGCAAAGGTTGATCAAAAAATTTCCTATGATCTTCACTGAATGAAGAACGATCAAAAGAACTTTAATAACAGTAGAAAGGCAGATTGCACGTTCAGTTAATTAAAATATATGCTATTAGAAAAACATGAAATGTGAACATTCAAGAATTGTAAGAAAGGAAAGCAATTATACATTATGTGATTTTATATGACAAAATTATAAGACAAATTATATGAAAAGTGATAAAAGTTTTTAAAAATAAATCAAATTAACAATTTAAGTAAGCAAAAATGGATTAGAAAGAGGTGTGCTGTAGCATATACTATATTGAGGTAAGTTTTATTTTTTATACATTTTTATACATTTTAAAATTTTCCATGTAGAAATTCTTAAATGTTTTACGATTTCGAGTTTAGTGAAAATATGCTAGATTTTTATGCTATATTTATGCTATATTTATACTATATTTGCTATATTTTATGCTGTTCGCTTAATATTATATAAGTGTTATATCGCAGTTTTTAATACATTTGTGTTCTATTATTTTGAAAAACTATTCGTAAGTAAAAAATATTAAGGAAGTGCTAATAATAAATAAAATAATTAGTGATAATAATGTATTTAACAATCTGAGTAACCATATAAAGTATAATATTAAAAGAGTATCCCATTAAGAGGCCTCAATCTCCCAACTACCGGCGGGTCGCGAAATTTCTGAAAACGATCTTGCATGTACGTTCTGTATCATAATTCTTGGTTTTTCATTTTTTCATAAACTAGTAGGCGTGCCATAACTTAAAAAGTGTTTAAGCATTAAATTGGAACATTAACTCTGAAATAAAATCTTATTGTTTTATTTTTTTATAATTTTTAAAATTTTAACGGCTAATTCTTCTTTGAGGTATTGAACTGCAATCTGGAGTTTCTAGATTGCTATATTTTGTGGCCTATGAACTCTTAAAATATTTTCTCATTTCAGGAAAAGCTGTTGTAAATTGGGTGCAGTACTCAGCCTTTGGAGTTCCACTGCGAAAGGCTAATGCAACTGACAACCGAAATTTTCAAACACCGCCGTGAATTTGAGAGAGCACGTGGGTCTTTCGATTTGCCTAAACTCAGTCAAGGTCAGATACGCGAAGTTTAAGACACCAGGGGCGCTATCTCCGCGGCAGGCGATAAGAGTCGGATCCCGAATCCGCTGCAAGTGATGGAGAAGCAAGCGGATAAGTTTTCTTTCATATGGGTTATTCACAATTTCAGTATGTGCCATGAAGCCAAAGGCGAGTATTTTTGCAGCCCAAGTTTTGTTCTGAACTTTTTACCTGACGTAGAATGGTTAATAAAGTTGTATCCTCGAGGAGACTTCCGTGAAAATTCCATAGCCATTTTCATCACCCGAAAAGATGACGCTCCTGAAAAATATAAAGTAAAATATTCTATTGAAATACTTGATTGCAACGGAAAGATTGTTTACCCTACTATTAACAGCATCTGCACGTTTACTCTTAAAGGTGGTTGGGGTGCTTCGACTTCTATTGAAAGAAGTTCTTTTTGTCGCTTGTTAGTACATGATATACTGGTCATAAAGTTCTCTTTTGAATCGATCTGTGAGATAAAAGAACAAGGAACTTTTATTTCACTTTCTTACAAGAATGGATTGCACACAGACTTCATATTACGAGCTGGCAAGGCAATTTTCAGTGTCCATAGAGCTATGCTATGGGCGCGATGGCCAAAACTGGCAGAAAAACTGAATATAGAAGGGACTTGCGAGCAAGTTTTGGATATTCCATCGAATGTACTGGATGCCCTTATTCAGTATATTTACACTGGGAAAATAGAATGCAATGAATCTAAATTACCATCGGAAGCATACGCCGCTGCTGTGGAATACGGACTTCCCAGTCTGTGTTTTATGCCTGTCTTAATCCAAAAAGCTCAAACCCGCATCAGTACAGAGAAAGTATCGTTTCAGTGGCCAATAGCGAATTTTCCCAACCTTCCGAATAATACAGTATTACATAGCCCTGTATTCACTGTCGGTTTTCACCCTTCGGGTATATGGAATTTAATCTTTGAGATGCGAGACGTGGTTTTTAGTATTTCCATTTGTTGCAGAAATTATGTATTTGGAAAGCTGCCATGTTTCGTAAGAAGTAAAATATCATTCAACAAAACTGATGAAAATGAACTTTTTTCTGAAAATGAACACCTCTTCCGAAGGGATGAAAAATGGGAATGCGCAGAGTTTTCTCGTAGCTATCCTTTAATATCAAAGAATGCTGTGGTACTTAAATGCGAATTTAAGTTTTCGAATTGTGATTATGCTTCTGAAATTATGGAATCCTCGCGTGCTTTCCCCTCCTCTACGAATTACAGTCATTTCCAAAAAGATCTTCGCAATCTTTATAGGAGTGGAAAGTTAGCCGATGTTAAAATTGTAGTTGATTCGAAAACGTTCTCCGCGCACAAATTTATTCTGTGCGAACGATCATCCGTATTTTCTAGAATGTTTGAAACCAAAATGAGGGAATCAAAAAATAGCATTGTTGAGATATCTGATATGGATTCTGATGTAATTGACGAAATGCTTTTGTTCATGTATTCTGGGGACACAAGTAAACCATTGGAAGAAACCGCTACACGACTGTACACATTAGCCGACAAATACGATATTCCAGCACTTAAAAAGAAATGTTCTTCCTTTTTAAAATCGAGTCTTACCATTAGCAATGTATGCGAAGTTGCCCAGTTAGCTGATTTGCATTCTGATGACGATTTACGCGAATGTTCAATAGAATTTATTTGGTTGCATGCAAAAGACGTTTTCGCAACCAATGACTGGAGGGAGATGTCCAAAGGAAACCTGTGTACAAACATTTTAGAAAAAATCATACTTCATAAAAATCCTAACAAATGAAGTGAATAAAATTTCACAGCATGATTAATGAATTTTACTCTTTTAAAATATAGTAGCGTTTAATAATAATTTTGAAAATAGATTTCTGTTAAATTTTGCTTTGTAATAATAGTGTGCCAGATAAAAATTATCTTCTTGTCTAATGCGTAATTCATAAACTTAAAAAACTTACAAATGGAAATATATTTGAGTTCGAGTGTATGAAATTTATTATCATGGTTTTGGATCAATGCTGCATTTATTGAATTGCCAAGTTTCAGAAAATAATCAGAAATTCGAGTTTTATGTTTTACCATTTATGTATGTTTTAGCATTAAATACTTTAATCTAGTTGCAAAAGTTTGTCTGGGTATGTTAAGGCAGCAGTTTTTTTTCCATAAAATAATTTAATTGATATCTATTGATTTTTATCTAATCCGGTTTGTAAGAAGGTCAGAGAATTGCACAAACTCGGCATTGCGCACTGCCTTGACTTTGTCCACATACACATCGATCTATTTTTACTTAAAAAATAATCAGGAAGCTAAAAGCAAGTTAAAACTATCATGGTAACCAGAAATGGGGTTTCATCACCAAAATTGAACAAAATTTGTCGCCATTCGAAGGAGCACCCAATTCTACACTAAAGCCAACTCATGTATATTTCTCGCTACAATTCACTGCATTATATGTTTATCAGTTTTTGACCTCAAGTCGTTATATTTAAAGAGGCTTATCAAAATGTCGACGCAGCAAAAATATTTCGAACTAACTTATGCATACCTCATTGAGGCTCTGGCAACCATTCTTCCATGAAATTCATGGAGAAGACAGCAACAACTATTTTTTGCAAGAACAAGGTCTAGCTTTTTGGAGGGAAGAAGTTCTAAATTTATGTTTGCTTTCATTTCACTTACTTTTGAGCGTTTTATGACATTACAGTTTTATTGTTGTAGATGAACTCAAGATAAAATTCGTAAATTAATATACATTTGTCTCATAAATATGAAGAGAAAAGTCAAAATTCACCTCACAGTATTCATTCATAAAGCTTTTTTAATTACTTTACTGACATATGTGGAGATACTTCGTTTTCAACCAGACAATTCATATATTTAAGATAAACTACATATATTCTGACATAACAAAAATCAGTGGAAGTAGTTATTTTAACAGATTTTGCTATTAACAGATTTGCTTTCAAGAAACAATAAATCTAACGCTGATGGATATTAAAAAAAAAAAAAAAAATTCGTGGAAAGAATTCATTCTTAAGGGAAGCTCCACAGTTGATTACTTATTTTACTTGCTTTCATTGTTACTTCCGGAAATAGTCTTTCAGTTACTGCTGAACAAAGCGCAGTTTCTTCGTAACTAGAGCTTATGCCTCTCGGGACGGTTCCCAATTTTGCTGCCTCATTTGATATATATAAAAACAAATAACTAAAAAGATGTTAAAATGACGTATAGGGAAATACATTTAAACTCTGAATTTATTTTTGAAGAAAAATTTTAATTTCAACGTTTTAAAACTATATTATTATTATTGTTCTCAAAAACATCGATCACATCGTAGAAGTGGACTTGATTGTTGAAGCTGCTATAATGTAGACAGTATAGAAAGATTTCTTAAATGCAAAATAAACATTTTTAGATTTTAAATACTCCTTAAATGTAAAATAGACATATATAGTTCTAAAGTACTTTCTAAATGATTTTTGTTTAGAAAAAACCTTCTCGCAACCAGCAGCGTTTATAGCATCTATGAGGAAAGGTCGCATCATTAAAGTATTTGGAAATTCGTTCTGAAGATTGTAGAATAAACTGAAAAAATTGAAAAGATCCAACCTTCCACGTTCCTATTTCTTTTTCCCTATCAATAACGGAAACAAAACTTTGAAATATTTCTCTCTTAATAATGAATTCTTCGTTTTTAATGTATTTTTCATCATAAATTAAAATGCCAGAAGATATCTCTGCCAAGATTTTCATAAATATTTTCTTCCGTTAAGTTTTTGAAAATTTAAGGAAAGTCACATTGTAATGTAAAAACAGTCCAACTTGTATATTTATGTACGGGTATAAGTGGGTGGAAAACCAGAATTTCATCATAGTTTGCACAGCTATAGTTCCGCCACATTAACTGTGTATTTTAAGCCCAGTTTTGAGGAAGAACACCCCGGGCAGCGGTCCGAGTGTCTCCCAGTCCTCTTTCCCTGCGATCACCCTCTCGAATGACTATCCGCTCGTAGTGTATTTTGAGTGCCTCCTTGCCGCGCAGACACTACACGCTTACAAACATCCATGCTTACTCCGGCATTCCAACTGTGGCCCACTGGAACGGCAGTCAGCGTTATTAACTTCTGTAACGGCTGGGCATCTGATTTGTAAATTAAGAATTTAACTTCAAACATAAAATAGAGGAGGTATATGAGCGGCTGAGCTCTAAAATCGCTGAACAGTGTAATACGACCCTGAACAGTGTAATACGCCAGTTCAAATCTGGCGAGTGGGCTTGTTACATGGAAACCTACGTGTTTTCGCCCATGTGTTAATGTATACAAGCAAGTATTCCGTAGAAAGTCCTCCATGAAAGCCTCCCATCCCTTAGATAGATAACTCTTTGAGTGCTTTGCCATAAGCGAAATAACCCAAAATAGATACGCAAGTATTTTACCTTAAAATGTTTTCATGTTTCTTATATTTGTTTTAGAAGCGTTTTTAGCATTCTTTCCGAACGGGGTCGGTATTGACCCCCTGGGGGTGGCTGAAATTTTAAAAGGCTCCAGTGATGATCAAGGGTTCGATAGCTTTATATGTATCTTTTGCTAGGTTCTTAAGTTAATCTTCAGTTACCTTAATTTCTGCGTGCCAGAAATCTATAGCAAAATTACATTGATATTTCTGAGTGAGATTTTATTTTGATGTGACTCTTTCTTTGTCCATGGAATTTTTTAATTTGTAAATTTGAAACGACTATTTGTCACTGCAAATTTTTAATTAAAATAAAAATTAATAAAATAAAAGCTTCATCAGACTGGCCTTATATTGCCCTTCGAGTAGACAATTTTCAAGGATAGAAAATTGCACATATTTTACCTCGACCTTTATTTTCAATGAATGACACGTTTCAGTACAATCTTTTTGTAAAATGGCCAGTGGTTTGGAATGAAATGTCATTATTTTTATGTATTATTTTAAATGTTTTATAAGCATATGATTTTGAATGGCAGTCATAATTAAAATATTATATCTGAGTTCACGTCCTGCATGATTATTTTTTAGTTAAAATAATCAGAAAGAGTCCCTTTTCAGTAAAATTACGCATCTGCTTCTACGCATTAAACTAAAAGCATCTAAGATAATATGTAAAAAGATAGTTTTTTTTTTTTAAAGAAAACATGTTGATTTACATAGTTTTCATTTTAAACAGAACAAGAATATTTTTTTTTTTTTTTTTTGCTTCAGAAATTTATAAATTTTATGGTTTTATTTGTAAAAAACTGTAGTTTCAGCTTCTCAATTCACAATAATAAACAAAGATATGCTCTGAATTAGCTCAATCATTGCCAGATGTACTACTAGATAAATGTAGAATTCTGGTTTATCCAGTTACACTACTGTGAAGAACAAATATACTGTTTGTTTAAATGATTCATTTACCTTACCAAACCAGTTGTATGGCAAAACATTTTCTTCACCTTGGACTTCACAGGGGAAAAAAAAATGTTTCTGTACCTCTTTTCCTTGCCATAGAACTTTACAATGTTCATTATTGCATATACATGCAATGAAAGGGACAGAATCTTGCATTTAAATTTATAACTTATGGAACAAGTCATTTTTCACATTTCGATATGCGTTCTGTTTAATATTCATGCCAGGTTTAAATAGTATGTGATTTATATTATTTATTTATAGCTGTATGTACGCGGATCAGATGATTTTTTGGAGTATTGGAATGTTCTTTTCATTTTATTGTTACAGCATGTTTAATTTTTAAATAAAGTGTTGTGGCAATGATGCGTGTATGTGAGGAGATGTACATAGTCCTTATTCATTTTGCATATTGTGTTATTAATTTTAATTCTCCTTATTATATTCTATATTGGTCTTATTCATTTTAGTAATATTCATGAATTCGCGCTGATTGCGTGACACAATTATTTTAATGCATGTTATATGTTAGTGCATATTTCACAATGAAAGTATATTACATAACTCTATTAATATACATCATCAACATATTAAAACATCTTTTGGATGTAAGAAACACAATTAACCGCCAAAAAATCATAAATTGTTTAAGGGAGATAGTTAAATGCTGTATGTTACCGCACTTAAAATTTTCAGAATTACAGCTAATTATACCATGAACTGTTTTGCTTTATACCCACATCATAAGTACCTTCATGGTAATACAGCTTTCATGCAGGTGAGAAATACCGTGACCGCCTTAGTGGAAGAGAGTCGAGTCGGCAACTGTGAGAATGAGTCAGTCATTCAGAGATCAAGCAGAACTTTTAGAGTTCTGGCCACCTGTGCAGAGACGCCGAACACTGGTAGTTCGGTCCGAGGTTTGAATTCCGCGAACGGGCGCTGGCTGCATGGGAGTTTTCGTGGTTTTCCTCATGTGTAACGTGTATACGAGCCAGTTTCCCTTAGAAAGTCCTCCACGAAGGCATCTCTCCCTTTAGGCAGATAGCCCTCGTGTGCTTTGCCATAATTGAATAATCCAATCCAATCCAATCCTGGCCACCTGTGCACTGAAGGCTATTTGGTTAATAAGATGCAGCTTGATTCTGATCAGTGCAGAAGAACGATATGTACCTAGCACTCGAACAAACAGAAATAGCATTTCACCTCTTGGCTAAGTAGCATTTGCATATTCTACAGCCAGCATGCAGCTTGAAACAAGAAGCAACTAAAGTCAAGTGAAGTCAAATAAAAATTTGAGGACCAGCATACTTTCACCCACATAGTATTTTGAAAGCAGCTTTTGAACAGAAACTGAATGTTGTTTATTTAAGCGGTATTAAACAGCATACAATAAATTTTTATTATTCTGGATTACTTTTAATCACCACTTACAAAATGAAAATGCTACACATTTTTAAATATCAGTATTACAGTTTTTTAATGCTTCTCAAATATATATAAACAAAGAAAGTCATAATTCGGATGATAATAAAAGCTACTGTAATCGATCAAGAAGACGAAACTTCCCTATTACACGTGTTATAAAAACATCATAAATTATTTTATCGTTGAGAAAGAAAAATACTTTGAATTTGAGGAACGTAATTTTCCAAAATTAAGTAATTTTTTTATTATTTAAATTTCAAGCAATGTATTTTCAAAATTGTGTTATGTGCGTTTATTTTCTATATACTACTATACACCGTTAAAGGAAAT